ATCGTCCAATATCCTTAAATAATCTCATATTATTTATTTTCATATCTATTTTGGAAGAAAATATGTTTTTAAATAAAAGAAAATAAGATAAATAATACGAAAGAAAATCAAAAACAAATTCCATTAAAATGTCAGACTTTTACTTTCGGTAACTTAATTTCTTATGAATTATTACAGGGGCAACTGCTCCCACTGCTCCCACTTCTTCCACTCCCACTCATATAGTACATACGAGTATATTTCGTATAATCTGAGGAACTTCAGTGGCATCTACTTAACACAGCAGGAGTGTGTGCATTGTTTATTTGTTGCTTTCCATCTTAGTACGTAAAGGATAAATTCAACTTTAGAGGCCCTTTATTCTGGAGCGAGTGTCTCCATAGAGTTTGCTTTTTTATTATCCTTATTTTGCTTGCATTGTATGTTTGGTTCGTTAACGCAAATATGTGAAAATTCATGAACGTTTTTCGCACGTGTTTTTCATTTTAAGTTATTGTCACCAAAACGAAAAACGAAAAACGAAAAAAAAAAAAATTAAACAAAATTAAAGGCGAAACGTGAACATTTCGTCGTCGTATCTCTTTAATATCGCAACATTCCGGCTTGGTTTCGAATGGAGGTGTACCATATGGTTGACGTACTCGAATTAAAGTGCGATTGATGCTGCCACAAATTAAGTCAAACGCCGCATGAGTTCCATAAAAAGTAAATAACCAAAATTTTATTGCGGAGACGACGCAGTGGGTGGCTTGTTATTTACTTGCGTCGCCGTTGGCAATTGCTTGAACCTGATGTCATAAATTCACTAACGTATTTTCTCTTTCTTCTTCTACTAAAGGTATTACTTTCTTTGATTTAATATTTATTTACGTAGAAAACTTTCACTACATTTACTTTCAGCATTAAATTAAATAAATTTATTTTTTTTTTTTTTGAAACCTTTTTTAAATTGCAAAATAGGTAATCATCTTATCATAATAGATAAAGAGAAAAGTCTGTTAGAGCAAGTTTATTTTACTTTAGAAGTAATTAACACATATTCAAAGAAGAATCATTGAGTGAATGAATAAATGCATATCCTTCTCGATACAATTTTCGAAAATTTTTAAGTACCGAACAACCTAAAATAGCATAGAACATAAAAAAGTAACAGAGCCCCCATTTTAAGATGCACGTAGAATTTTATTCGTCGACCAATTTAGAAAAGGCTATTTAACAAGCCCTTAATAACAATCGCTATAGGTTACAGACTAGCATATTTCGAGAAGAAAACCGCGAAACAATGGCTCCATAAGAAGAAGAAAAAAGTCTCTTTCACCAAGACAATGCGCCGTGTCACAAGTATTGGATATCATGATAAAAGTACATGAATTACACTACGAATTGCTTCAGCACCCACCATATTCAACAGATCTAACCGTCAAATTTTACTACATGTTCGCAGACCAAAAAAATAAAAAATGACACAGGGAAAGAGATATACCTTCGATCAAAAAAATTCATCGATGAAATTGAAGCATATTTTAAAGCTAAATCATTTTACAAGAGAGATATGAATAAATTAGATAGGTGCTGGATTGATTCTAATACTCTTAAAGGAGACTAAGTTCAAAACCAAAGTTTGCTGAAAAGTTGTTTTTTCATCGTGTATTCTAAGGATTTAGAAGTCGATGTGTTATTCCTAAAAGGACAATTACAAACATCCCAATGAAATAGTGAAGCATGCAGTCAATCTTAAATGCGATAAGATTCAGAATAATACAAAATGTTAATTTAAATTTTATCGAGTTATTTACTAATATGAATTATATCTTTCATGCAAAACTTGTAGGATTACAGGTTTACTGTACTTGTTCAGAGAGAATGTAAATAGTGACACGTATCATCACATTATTGGATATATTGTATTTCGATTGTTCTTTATGTGACTCGAATTAAATGATCTCTTTAGATACTTATTTAGCACAGCCCATATATCATCAATGAAGGTTGATTGCAGTGGTGTTAATATTATTAAAATTAACAAAAAATTGTTATAATATGAACTA